TGTAGATATGAAGAAGGGGGTGATGAGTGTGTTGATGCACTTCCACCACCTGCCAAAGGAGAAGAGAAAGAGATGAGTATTTTAGAACCTCCTAAAGAAATTAATAGAAAAAGAGAGGAAATGATTAAAAAGTTAAAGAGTTCAATACAAATGAAAGTCCAACAAGACATAATAAGAGAAGAAAGAGAAAAGAAGAAGGGGGAAACCCTAATCAAGGAAGAGCCAATTGTAATTCATAAAGAGATTCAAATACCAGTAGTTCAAGAAAGGAGTAATAAACAAATTGAATCGAAGATAATAAAGAAAGACCAATGTGATAATATAACTCAAGAAAACAACGACAATAATAGTGATAAAGGTATTAGATTGAATAAAAGAATTGATGAGAAAGAAATTGAAATAGAAATAAATCAATTACAAAGTTATGAGAAAGATCAAAAGATTTTAAAAGAACAAAAAGATGAAAAAGAAAATGGAGTGGTTATGAGTAAATTTCTATTTATTGGTCCAATATATGGAAATTATATTGTTTGTCTATTTGAAAAAATAAAAAGAGTAATAAGTAAGAAAGGAGAATTAAAATCAGTTATAATATTAGGTCTTATTCATAGTGAAGGAATTATTATACCAGAACCTCCATGTCCAATTTATATATTAGCAACACCTTGTACTAATCAATTAAAAGAACCAATTCCATCAAATGTACATATATTAAGTGGAATTGGAGATTTAAAGATTGATAAATTTACATTAGTTTATAGTAGTATTGATGAAGCAGAAGATGATGTTAGTTATCAAGAAACTAAAGAATTAGCAACAAAATATTATCTTCAGAAGAGTTGTGATTTCTTTATATCAACATATTGGCCATCATATATTCTTAATGAATTAGATAGTAATGAAAAACCAGCATTTCATGTTGATTATTCTTATGTTGCAGCAATCATTGCACGTGCATGTTGTCCAAGATATCATCTAACAATTGGAAAAGAATATTATGAAAGAGTTGAATTTACCAATAAAACAGATTCTAGAATAAAAAATAATGATTTAATTTATCCTACTAAGTTTTATTCTTTAAATCCTGAAACAGAAGAAAGAAACTTGAAGTCAATTATATTCTTAAAAATTATTTCAGTAGAAGAAGGAGCATTACAAAATAATACAAAAAATCTTGGAATTAATCCTTATTATGATATTAAACTTACTCAATCTAAATTTAGTGAATTCAAAAAACCATTATGTCAATCTCATATAACTGTTGTTTCTTCAATACCTACAAATAAACAAGAAGACCAACAACATATAATAAGTATTTATGAAAATAATAAAAAACCATTATATCAACAAAGTTATAAAATTAATAATTGTTGGTTTTGTTTATCAAATTCAAATAGTGAATTAAAACTTATTATATCATGTGGATATTATAACTATTTATCATATACTAAAGGTCCATTAATTGATAATCATTTTCAACTTATTCCAATTCATCATATTCAATCTTATAAAATGATGTCAATTGTTGGTTTATCTGAATTAAATAATTATTATACTTCATTAAGAAACTTTTATCGAGTAGAGAAAAAAGAATTTATTGTATTTGAAACAATTCTAATAAACCAAAATTCTAATCGCCATACATTTCTTCAAATCTTTCCATTTGAATTAAATAAAAGTGATGATCTTATCAAACATATTGTTAGATTTATAACTTCATTAAATGGTCAATGTCAACTCATTCAACTCTCAAACCCTATTGCCTTTAATGAAATTCCACCTCAAACAACATACATTTATTTTACACTCTCTGGAATTGTTAGTTATTATTTCGTTGTACAAAACCAAATTAAACCAACAATAGCAAGAGAAATAATGGCAATGTGGTTCAATTTACCTGATCGTATGATATGGAAACAATGTCAAGAAGAATACTCAGTAGAAGAGAGAAAAGCAAGGGATTTACGCCATACCTTCTCAAATTTTGACACTATAATTTAACCATAACTTATGATACTTTTACTATAAATTTATCAGATGAAAATAATTCACAAAAAATGGATTTCATAAAAATTAAAAAAAATCTTATTTCTATCATTCTACGATGAACAATCAATTCTCATCATTTCAATCTGGTCAACAAAATCCATTTGGAACTCCAAACACTACTACACAACCTCAGTTTGGTACAACCCCTTCATTTGGTGGATTCAATACTAATCAAACTTCGGGAACAACTAATCCATTCAATTCTACTGGTAATTCAACTTCAGGAACAAATAACCCATTTAATACTACCAACAATACTACTAACTCAACAACCAATCCATTTAATACAAATACCAATACAACAAATAATCCATTTAATACAAATACTAATACTACAACCAATCCATTTAATACTACTACTACAGGAACAACAACCAATCCATTTAATACCAACATTACAAGTACTAATAATCCATTTAATACTACTACCAGTATAACAGGAACAACTACTACTACTAACAATCCATTTAGTACCAATAACACTACCACTGGAACAACTACAGGAACTAATACAACAGGAACAACTACTACCAACAATCCATTCAGTACCACAACAGGAACAACCAACTTATTTAATAAGACACCTACTTCTAATAGTACGACAACAGGAAATAATACAACTACAACAACAGGAAGTAATCCATTTGGTAATTTCACAGTTTCTAACAATAGTACTTCTAGTACCACAACAGGAACAACAGCCACAACAGGAAGTAATCCATTTGGTAATTTCAATACCACTAACAATACTACCTCGAGTACAACTTCAACAGGAAATAACACTACAACAGGAAGTAATCCATTTGGTAATTTCACTACCACTAATAGTACCACTCCTAGCACTACAACAGGAACAACAACTACAACAACAGGAAGTAATCCATTTGGCAATTTTAATACCACTAATAACACTTCTAATTCTAGTACTACCAGTACTACAACAGGAAGTAATCCATTTGGTAATTTCACAAATAATACCACTTCTAATTCAACTACACCAAATACAACTGGAACAAACACAAGTAATCCATTTGGTAGTTTCACAAGTAATACTACTAACACCACTACTACCTCAACAACTGGAGCAGGAAATCCATTTAGTACAACTAATTTATTGAATAGCTCCACAACTGGTACTCAAACAAATGGAAATCAACCCACAACAAATGATATTCAAAGTTCTATCCAAAAAGAGGCAGAACTATTGTTTTCTCGAGCAAAGACATTAGGATTAGATGATTGTATTGAAGAATGGAACAAAGACTTACAAAGTGACATCAAACGATTCCAAGAAATATCAGAAAAGATTAAGACACAAAACGAATCTATTATGAAAGCAGAAAAAGAAATTGAAGAGCTTAAAAAATTGAAGAGCTTAAAAAATTTGTTCAACAAATGAGTGTTGTGAAAGATCAAATGATTGATGTAGTCACACAAATAGAAAAACAACAAATAGAAACAGAAACACATATTAAAGAGATTCAAAATAAACATCCAGGTTCATCTGGAACAACAAAGAATGTTGTACAAACAGTAATTGATACACTTGATAGTTTAGAAGGAAAATATAAAGAAGTCAAAAAACAAATTACTAATCATAATTATGCAGAAGTTAAAGAAGGAGAAAATAAAGAATGTGTTCAAATTATTCAATTATTAAATGCTCATAGAAGAGCACTTGATTGGATGGAGAGAAGTACTAATGAACTTAAAGATAACATAGATGATATTGCTCAAGATATTATTCAATAATTTATTTGGTTGTTGACTTAATTTTTATTTCTTTCTTTTCATAAAACAATAAAACTAAAAGAAAAATTTAACTAATTAAATTCTTAAAGAAGATATGAATAATATTTTATTCATTTCTTATAAACATAGATAATCTTTGTATAATTTTTCAACTTATTTGATAACAAATTAGTAATAAAAAGAATAAACATC